GCGTCGACCCGTCGCCATGAGGTTCCACGCCCCCGTGGGCGATCTCATGGCGCTCGCCTTCCGCCGCCCCTCCCGACTTCCCCGGCCCCCCCCCTCCGGTGGGCCCTCAGCCTCAAGCCAGTGACTGGGGCAGGGCCCTTTCCATGGCCAAAGAGGCCTATGGGGCGGCGCAGAGCGGCGAAGGAGATCGCGCCCGCGGCTTGCTGACGCGCGGTTGCAAGGAGTGGGCTAACGCGGCCGAACGTGATCTCTCTAATACTCGGGGGGTCACCATTCCTTTGGGGCTGAGGGGCAAGAGGCCTCATATGCACTGGACAGTTGTCTTGCAGGCTGGTGGTAGAGAAGAGAACCCCACCTCAGGTCCATTATGTGGCTGTATAGCCAGTTGAGGGCGTCTAGGTGCGACCTACAAGAGCATGATCTTCTAGCAGGGGGTCGACCTGTTCTGGCGGTGTTTGCCAGTCCCCCAGTTTCTGCCCAACCTGCAGCTGACTCTTCCTGGGCTGCATTTGTTGTTTCTGCCGCGGCTTAGCGCGTCGGGCGCTCAGTTCAGCTGCTGGCCCCGAGCTTGCGGGTGATCTTGACCGTCTCATCGACGACGCTGCGATCGCTTGCGCGCCTGCTAGGGCCACCGTTGCGTCTTCCCCGCGGCGAGAGTGGCAAGAGCGGGTGCGCTCTAGGTTGGAGAAAGGGGCCAGGAATGCTCAGAAAGCAGTTCGTGACCCCGTGCCTTGGTCTCCCTCCACCACTGTCTCGTGGGCTGGCGTGGTCATCTGCGACCCTGCCGGCCTCTTGAAGGCCGAGGGGGCAAGTTTGCGGCGATTTGGGGGCAGGGTGAAGGTCTCGGTGTGTCCTCTGAGCTCCTGCCTCGCCCCCCCATTCTTGAACCTGTCACTATCCGTGAAGTTTCGAAGCGCTATAGGCCGAGCAGCGCCGTCAGCCTCGACGGCTTTCATTGCGGACATTTTTGCCTCCTGCCTGACGCTGCCCTGACGGCCATGGCCCTCTGGTTCGCTGTCATGGAGTCCACGGGTGCGCTTCCCCTTCAACTCTCTTGGGCCCTGGTGGCCCTCTTGGGCAAGCTCTCGGGGAGCTTTCGTCCGATCGGGACCTTCCCGAGCTGGTTCCGCGTTTGGGGAAGGCGCCGTCGTCCTGAAGCTCTCCGCTGGGAGCTCCAACATGCGAGGCCCTACTGGGCCGCGGGGGCCTATCGCGGGGCTGGGGATGTCGTCTGGCGCCAGGCGCTGAGAGCTGAGACGGGGGATTCGCCGCGGTGACGTTAGCGCTTCTATTTTGGGATCTTCGTAAATATTATGAGCACATTGACCGGTGGTTTCTTTGCAAGAAGCGCTGCCAGCATGGTTTCCCATTGTGCTTGGCCAGGCTGGCTATCAGGGGTAATACCGCGGCCAGATGCCTGACTCTCGGGGGGATTGTCGAGGGCCCGTATTCTGCGGTGAAGGGCATCGTCGCGGGTTGTTCGTTCGCGACGAGCCTCATCAGAGTGTTCGCTATGGAAGCTTTCGACGCCACCCCGAGAGTTTTGACGGGTGATTTCGACGTTTACATCGACGACCTCAGTTTAACAAGTTGCACGGGGAAGCCCCCCCAGGTCGTTGCCTCCCTTGTCAAGGGCGCTCTGGCGCTCGAATACGCTGTTTGCAGAGTGCTCAGGTGCAAGCTTGCCGTGGACAAGGTGGGCGCGGTGTCCAGTGGTGGCGGCTGATGAACTTGTTTCCCAGTTAGGGCCCTTAGTTGGAGAGCGAGCTTGCACCAGAGTCACCAACTTAGGTGTGGACTACACTGCTGGCCGTGACCTGCGTGCCCCTGGCTGCAAGCGCCCTGCCAGGTTAAAGCAGAGGCTGGCCATTGCGACTTGCAAAGCCAAGCGCCTCAAAAAGATCAGTTGTGACATCGGGAGACGTGCTCTCAGCGTGTCCGCCGCGGGCCCGATGTCGGGGGCCGCGTGTGGCTCGGACATCCACGGGGTGTCTGATAGAGAGCTCTTGGACCTTCGTCGTTTGGCCATGTCGTCTATTAAACCTCTGGCCCGGGGCCGTTCTCTTTCGGTTCTCTGCCTTCTCGAAAACGATCCCAGGTTGAGGGCTAGTTGTGCTCCAATCATCCGCTGGGCGAAAGAGCTCAGGACCTTCCAAACTCGTGCTTGTCCCTGGTCTGTTTCCCGGGCGGAAATGCGCGGCGGGCGGGGTAATGTTTTCTCTTCGGGTGACCACTCGTCGCCCACAGTTTCGGGCCCGATTTCTGCTCTGAGGATGTCGCTGTATAGGCTGGGCTGGTCCACGCCCTACTTCGGCACCATAGTGGGCGATTTCGGGCGTGAGGTTTCCCTGGCCCTGTCTTCCCCCGAAAATGGTGAAACACTTTTGCAAGGGGGCTGTCTTTTGATCCCTCGAGAGTGGCTCGGGTGATAAGTTTCGCGTCCACGCGCGTCTGCGCTGGGATGTCCAAAAACAGCTCCTCGCCTCCAGCAAGATATCGGGGAAGACGAAAGGGGTGATCCGTGCCCTCTCTATCAGCGCTTGCTGGACAGCGGGTGACGCAGCCGACCGCGGCTACCCGATTTCTTTTTTTGTGCGGTCTGTGCGGCGAGGCCAAGGGCAGCCTCTTCCACGGGCTCTACGAGCGCCCGCGCGTGCAGAAAGAGCGCGACGAATCCCTTCCTTCTTGGGTTCAGGAGGCGGCAAAAGCTGGTGATTGGAAAGATCCCGAACGAGGGCCCTGTTCCGCGCCGCCACCTCTGACGGACGGCAAAGTATCCCTCGTGTGGCATGCTGGCAGCCTGCCTGGCCCAGCCGACCCCCCCCCCCTCCCTCATGTTCCTACCAGTAACGGGATCTGGGGGCACCTTTCTATGGATGGTTCGTGCTCGAGGCACGCGGTTCGTGAACTGTCTCGTGCTGGTTGGGCCGTTGTCATGGTTTCCTCCACGGGAGAGCGTCTCGGGACGGCGACGGGGCCCTTGTGGGCCCCGTGGCCTCAAACTCCCCAGGGGTCTGAGTTCGGAGCTTACGCCGGGGCGGCGGCTTTTGCGCGCGGGCCCTCGCATTGTTATTCTGATTGTGCCAGTGTTGATTCGCTGCATAATTTGAGCTGCGCCGATGCCAGAGGCCCGCGGAGACCGCATGCGGGACTCGTGCTGCAGGCGCGTGCGAATTTCGGTTCTCTGTGCGAGTCTTTTAAGCCAGTTGCAGCCCACAAAGATATCGATGAAGAAGGTGTGAGCGCCGAAGAGCGGTTTCTTCGAACGGGTAACTTCTTCGCCGATATAGAAGCCAAGGAGGTGCCTCGCCTTCATCCAGTGCTAGATCCCTCCGGGGAGGAGGATCTGAAGCGGGCGCTAACCATTGCTCGACATGTCCTGCTGTCGGGCGCTCAGCTCCTGCCATTTTGGCCAAACGTTGAGTTTCGTGGCCTAGAGCGCTCCCGTGCCCCACCGCCTCCCGCCGAGGATGTTTTGGTCCTGGCTCACGAGTGGGAACGCATGGGTTCGGTTTGGAAATGTAGGGAATGCTTGAGAGGCTCCACGAGCGAGTGCTTGCCGACTTGGACCGAATGTTCGGGCCGTAGTCGGCTCGATCAGGACCCCCTCATGCGTCTCGGCCACCGCGTGATGGCGTTCCCGTGCAGTGACAAGTCACGCCTCTTCTTGCGATTGTCCTGCAAAATTTTCAGCTCTGGCGGCTAAGTGCTTGGGCTAGGCAGGCCTTGCGGTCAGCCGACAATCACAGGGATTAGAAATACGCGCAATCTCCGCAAGCGGCGACATCCTGACAAGAAAGGGGCATGTGTGGATATTGACGAATTCGTCCCACTGCTGTGACCTACACTGTGTAGGCCCACGATAGAATCGTGCTGTGGCTCGACTGTGCGGTATCATTTCGCTGTTGTGGTGGTGCCTCCCGGCCACTGCAGTGCACTGTCAAAACGAGGGGCCTGGGCGTTGCGGCCAAAAAGAAAAAAGAGGAGGAGGAGGAGGAGGAGGAGGAGGAGGAGGAGGAGGAGGAGGAAGGGGGGGGGAGGAGGAGGAGGAGGAGGAGGGCCCGCTGTCGCCCCTTTTGTGCGCGCCCGAGCGTGCCGAGGGTCGAGGCCTCCCATGTGGGGGCCCGTAGCACTGCACCCATCAGGCATTTTAGTGAGAAAAGCAGCAAGTTTCACGGACTCCAGTTTTTCCAGAGGAAAGCGAGGATCTGGACTAGACCTTGGGCTCTAGTTTTGTTGGTTGTCCCGTAGAGTGTGTGTATATATATATGGACCCGGACTACGTTTTAAGAACACGCGTCAAGTGACGTCCCTTTCTTAGCTTCAAATTGTCTTAACCCTAGGCAAGGGGGTAGCTAACCAAGTAGGGGATCTACTACATAATTGAGTTGCCCCCAAATTATGTTTCTCGTCGAGTCCATGACGAATGCGTCGAGTGTTTGTAGGTCTGGGAGCATTGTACGTATGTTATGGTGTACACTGGGCGAAACAAACCACTTTCGGGGTAAGTCAATTCTGCAGTCGATCTTTTTTTCGAGATCAGAGCACTATCGCAATACATTGCGAAGGCCCTCCGCCCAGTACTACCGCCGACTGAAGGGGGACGACGACGACGACGACGATCGCAGTACATTAGATTTTAGAGGACAGCGCGGATTTCTTCTTGGCCGCGCAAGTGCGTCGCGCACGCTCGGAAACCTTCTAGTATAAGCTCCATGGTGGGCGCTTTCTGGCTGCACCGACTGGGAAGCGATACGCTACAGAAGTTTGTGCTGTATGTTCCGGTACCATACGTTTCCAGCAGAGGCACGTCGTATTGGCATGTCCTTATGCGGCCCATTTTTCGGGTCGGCGGTGGACCCCTCGCCAGCAGCGCCTCCGGCGCCACCCCTGGCGCGCGAAGCGCGCCAGGACAGGGGGGGGGGGGGGGCAGCGCCGACCCCAATAAGTACGCGCGGACCTTCACCGTGTTTGCTTGTGCGTGCCCTATTCCCCTGGAGGAACAGCCCCCGTCGATTGTGCTGCGCGGGTCGGCGGTCCAGGACGCCGTCGTGCTCCTGTCCTGCCCAGAGCAGAGCTGTCTGGCTCGCCTGAGGAGCAGTAGCAAAAACGGCACGGCTCTCGAGGGTCTCGCCAAGAGGAGGATCGAGGGGTGGACCAAGGAGAATCCGCCCGAGCCGGTGCCGGGTGAGGGTCTTGCTGGCGCCATCGCGGAAAAGCTCGGAATGGAGCCAGTGCGGCTGAACTCCGACGAGGCGGATATGGAGGAGATGGTGATCGTGGAACAGAGCAAGCGGCAAACTTTACAATTTCTGAGGTCGACGTGAATTCATTGGGTCGGCGCTGAACTTGCCTGCCCTGCCGCGCGGGGTTTAGCGCCAACCCAAGACATTGGCTAGGACCTCCGAAAGTGTATTTACAACACAGTCTTGACACTAAGAATGCCGTAACACCCCGCAGTTGCGGATAGAGTGAGGGGGCGGCGGGGATGTCGGCACTCTGCGAGGCTCTGACGAAGCCCGCCGCAGGCGCTTTTTTTTCACGTATTACACGACGAGTTCGCCGCAGTGGCCGACATTTCCGTTAAAGCAATGCGGGTGGGTCGCGGGGTGGGTCGCGGACGTGTCCTGGGGTGGGTCGCGGGTGGGTCGCAGGTGGGTCGCGGGCCGGGGCGCGGGTGGGTCTCGGGTGGGTCACGGGCAGGTTGATCGCGGGTGGGTGCGTCGCGGGCGGGTCGCGGGTTGGGTTGCGGGCGGTTCGCGGGTGGGTTGCGGGCCCGCTCGTGGGTGGGTCGCGGGCGTGTCGCTCGTGGGTCGCGGGCCGCGTCGTGGGGGGGACGACGACAATAAACAACAAACATCAACGAACAACAATCAACAAGCAACGAAACAACACACAACAAACAGCAAAACAACAAACAATCACCACCACCACCAACAACAAAAGCAGCATCAACACCACCAACAACAACCAATACATACAGCAGCAGCAACAACAACGACAACCGCACCGCAGAGCCTCACTTCAGCCACGCGCCCAGGGACATTGAATGACCGTTCAGCTCCCTCACTCTGATTGTATTTCGCTGTTATTTCCCAACCCTTAATATGGTGTTTTGGGTACTCGTTCTCGAGGGAGCGCGCCGCGTCATCTCACCTTACTCCCGTCCCTGTCCTCCCTCCTGCCATCCCTGCCTCTGCCCTCCGCATGCTCATTTCGGCAGACCACTCACATGTTTCGTGGCTTCATAGGGGGCTCCACCGATTGGCCCAGATGTACCGTCCACATGGTGGCGTTACACACGTGGTTCCTGGACCCATGTGGAGCCCCTGAGGCCCCAGATGCCCGTCCACATGTGGGCGTCACGCCCATTCCGGCACACTCCTCACACGTTTCGTGACCCCACAGGCAGCCTAATGTAATGCCCTTTGGGGCACCGTCCACATGGTGGCGTCACACCCGTTTCGGCATACACCTTACACGTTTCGTGGCCCCATAGGGAGCTCCACCTCAGGCTCTAGAGGCACCGTCCAGATGGTGGCTTCACACTCTTTTCAGCATACCCCTCACACATTTCGTGGGCCCATGGGGAGCTCCACCTAAGGCCCCAGAGGAACCTTCCACATGTGCGCGTCACCCTCGTTTCGGCACGCTCACACGTTTCGTGGCACCATGGGGAGCTCCACGGAAAGCCCTAGATGCACCGTCCCCATGTGGGCGTCATACCTGTTTCGGCAAACCTCTTACACGTTTCGTTGGGATTTCTTGGAAGGCCGCAGTAGCAGGCGTCACATGCGTTCACAGGCCCAGTTTGGCACGCGTTTCCCACGTTTCCTGGCCCCGCGCGATCCGCCCGCAGTGTTCACACATGGTTGGGTATCTCGCCAGGCTAATTCTTGGAGTGGCTTCCCTACAGTTTCGCCTGGTGGGTGCCCGTGGTCGCGCTTCATGGGCGTTTCGTGCGCTGGCTGGGTTCTGCAGGCTTCGCCCAGTGGGCGCACGTGAGCCCAGGGGCGCCTCGTGGGCGTCCCGTGCGCTGGTTCGCGTTTCAGGGTGTACATGTGCTCTGCACAACAAAGATCTCTTCCTAAAGAGAATTGGACTCTATCCCCCACCACGGCCAGGGTTAAACGGTCGGCTTTTTCGTTTTACGTTTCCGAAGGTCTTCTGCACGATTATTCGTCCGAATTCTGAGTTCCATACGAGGTAGTCACGTTATTGTCTTTCTCATTCCCTGACAAAGAGAATATAGCGCGGTGCACACGCTTTGATCTAACAAGCCCGTTTTGCGATGGCCACTCGCGCGCGTTCTCCGGGGCGCGTGATCAAATCATAGATGAAGCCAGCACGACCCCAATTCTGGGGAAGCTTCTCATTGCATGGGCGCATTGCTTGGGATTGCTTGGCATTGCTTTGCAATGCCAGGGAGCCCGAGGAACCTGGGGAACCCAAGCAAGTAACAAGACCCTGGAGTCCGAGGACCAAGCAAGGAGCCAGACCAGGGAACCCGAGGAACCTTCTTATCAGGAAACAAGACGGGGCAACTCAAGGCCCTTGAAAGGAAAACAAGCCAGGGAACCTCCACGGAGCCCCTCCGTAAGGAAACAAGTCCGGGCAACCCGAGGAACCCGAGCAATGAGCCAGACAGGGGAATCCGAGGAAGCCTCTCGTAATGAAACGCGACCAGGAAGCCTGAGGCCCCCGTGAGGACATAAGACCGGGTACCCTCCGAGGAACCCCTTCTGAAGGAAACAAGGCCAGGGAGCCCTGAGGAACGCTGGGGCCAACCACGCCTGGCACCCACCGGTACTTCACGAGCAAGTAATTCAGTGGGGACCCATGCCAAGAAATACCCTGCTTGCCTCCAGGGTGCCGTGGGTTTCTTGGGTTTCGCTGTTTCTTGCAATGGAAAGCGTGACGCTTTCACACCAAAAATCAATGGACATCCTGGGGTCTCAGGGTTGGGTGTCTTGTGGAAGGTTTCTTGTGGACTGGCCTCCGTTGTAACCCTTTTTAGGCAAATCCTGATTGGGGGAAAGCGATTTATTTTAGTGGTTGAATACTGAGCTCTTCAATCGCAGCTGGACCAATCAGTGAGTCCACCAGATTCCCTGTGCGTGCGCACACGGGAAGACTGTATTACATATCATGTCTTCCACTCGGTCAAGTGAGACCATGCAGGCCACCCGCGCGCATGCCGAAATGGTTGAGACTCCTCGCGCACCCACCAAGTGTGTCAACTTGTTCCATGCGGGCCACATAGGCTCGTCCCCGCGCGCGCATGCCGAGAGCATCGGCTCAATCCCTTTGTCAAACACACATTGTCAAGACTGGGTTCTCCATGACATGCAAACCGCAGTTTTTCATTCGAACGCGCTGCCAGGCTCTCTGCGCGCTTTCACTTGCTAACGTCAGGGGGAAAGCATCTGTGTCCCTCGTCATCCCGTCGTCATCACCATCATCATACTTTCATCACTTTTACCATCATCGTCTTCATCAGTACCGTCGTCATCATCATCACCATCATTATTACTTTCGTTGCCCTCATCGTTATTCACACCACACTCATCATTGTCATTCGCCTCGCCGTTACTACTGTCGCCGTCATCATAATCACTCGTCTGCCCGAGCCATATTTCTGCATGATATGGGTCCGGGCACCCTGGCTTTTATTGAGACTGGCTAACAAATTCCAACTTGTAACTGCATTCCTGATTTCAGGTGTACCAACAAGTAGCCAGAGGGAAGGTGAAACTTGTGCTAGTGCATTGTGGTGTGCTTGCGCACGAATCACGCAGCTGATTGCGCCACATTATTTGCACCATGTAGCTTCCAACCCATATATGTTGCATGCTACGCCTTGCGCCGCGCGCATACTGCACCACACCGTTTGCACCATCTCAGTTGCACCGCACAGGTTGCACCACACAGTCTGCACCGTGCCGATGGCACCCTGTACCTGCGCCCCACATGCTGCACCACGCGGGGTGCGCACACATCGAGAGTGCAGCGACCCTCTGGTTTCGGGGCCCACGCTGTCAAGCCTCTGTTCTTCTATGCAGCTCTTGGCTCCTCCAGGTGAGGCAGGTCGTCGGGCATCTGCAGGCGAGGCGGGCCGTGCGCAACTTCCTGCGGCCCGTCGAGGTCCCCCGACCAGAGCCGGCGGAGGAGGAGCCCGTCGAGGGCCCGTCCGCCGCAGACGAGGCGGCCAGGCGGGAGGCGGACGTCCTGCGCCTGCGGCGGAGCGAGCAGGCGCAGAAGCTGGAGGCGCTGAAGCGCGAGGACCGAGGGATAGAAGCCGACGCATGCCGCAGCCTTTCTGCGGCGAGCGAACAGCATACACACACACTCATAGAATTACCCATAGGGGGGGACGGAGGGGGCTTTGTGTGCGTGTTGCCGGATGGGGACCCCCGCTAGAGCGGGAGCCTCCCCCCCGGGGTCCGACCACCCGCGCCCATACCCATAGCCAGCCCTCCTCCCTCCGACCCCAATGGGTACGGTTGTGTGTGCGTGTGTCTTTCCTTCATCATTCTTGAGGTCCACACGGATCTCTTGGGTCGGCGCCGGACTCCCCTGGCGGCGCATCCAGCACCGCCCCTGGCGCGCACCGAGCGCCGGCGGAGGGGGTCCACCGCCGACCCAGGAAGTCCGCGCTCACCTCAGAAAGTGTACGTTCACGTCGTCTCTTGCCCTCCCATGACGAACGAAGAATACACACCCGCACCGCTAGGGGGGTCGGAGGGAGGAGGGCTGGCCATGTGTGTGGGCGCGGGTGGTCGGACCCCGGGGGAGGCTCCCGTTCTAGCGGGGATCCCCATCCGACAACACGCACCCAAAGCCCCCTCTTTCATTCTATGGGTTATGGGTGTGTGTTGTTCGTTCGTCGTTCTACAGGAGCAGAAACAGCTCGAGAAGCAGTCCGAGCCGCTGCGCCAGTATCTCACCAACCACGTGGTGCCCACGCTCACCAGCGGGTTGATAGACCTGTGCCGCGAGCTTCATTGTACCCGATCTGTCGATTTGGGCTCGATCGGATCGACTGTTGGTCAACCGATCGGAGTCCGGGCGCTCGACTTCCTCCTGGTTCGCCCGTCGATCGGCATCGGGGCGCTCGACCGCTGCCGATAGATGGGGCACTGCATGCTTTTGGGTGGACTGGGCCGCCTGAATCGGGATCGAGATCTGGTTGTGGATCCGGGCAGGTCTGGGGCCTGCTGCCGAGGCCGCGAGCAGCCCGAGGATCCTGTCGGCTATCTCGCGGAGTACCTGTCGGTCTACTCTCAGGTGGCCAAGGCTCATGGCAAGAAGCCATCTGCCAGGCCGGCCTGACCGTGCGCACGCAGCTCGGGCCTGCCCGCGCGGCGCACCCGCGGGCTGATCGAGCCGTGCCACGGCCAGGGTCATCTCGAGGAGTGCCTGCCGGTGTGCTCCCAGGTCGGGGGCCGCGGAAGCTGTGCAGCGAAGCGCTCCGCTGGAGGGAGGGGGGGAGCGGACGAGGGGTCTTGGCATCGCTCGGGCGTGCATTTTTTCTCGGCAAGGACCACCGAGGAGCATGTTTGTTCACATTGCAAAACAATGCACGCACGAGACCGAAGAATGCACAGGGAACGGACGTCCGATCGATGGCGAGGGGGCGGGATGTGTACCTGGATGCTTCGTATTCGTTGCCGTTCTTTTGGTTACATCGGTTTTCGGGCCGTGAGGTGGCCCACAGGAGGCCGCTCTGAGAGCTCTCGCTGCCGCGATGGGGCCCTGGCCCATCTGGGACACATGAGCTGGGAATGGAAACGCAGGCTCACGGAGTTCTTTCTCCCCTTTCCCAGAGAGGGAGGGGCGTAACCATGTTGCTACACTCACAGGTTCGGACGGGGTAAGGACGAGGATGACTCTGTTCCAGAGCGTTCTGGAACGCTCTCAGAGCGTTCCTGAACGCTCTGAGAAGGCCGCGGCGCCCGAGATATCCTCCAGAGCCGCCAGATCTCAGAGATTCTCGATTTATCCTCACACGGTTTTGTCCTCGTCTTGTTTTTGTCTTACGTAGCCATCTTGCTACACTCACAGGTGCTGAAGCCTCCTCCCAGGTGGCCAAGGCCAGCGGCAAGACGCCGCAGTATGCCGAGGTTGCCTGACCGCGCGCGCCCTTGTTCGCCCCGCACAGCGCCTTCCTGCTCCCCCTTCACCTTCACCTCCTTGGGTGGGCCGTAGCGCCTCCTCCCATTCGCTCCTCCTCCCCATTCTCCCCCAGCCTCCCCGAGCCTCCCCCTCCTGCTCCTGCTGCTGCTGCTGCTGCTCCTCCTCCTCCTCCGCCTCCGCCTCCGCCTCCGCCCCCTTCTTCTCTGCCCTCCTCCTCCTCCTCCTCCTTCTCTTCCTCTTCCTTCTGCCTCCTCCTCGTCACTTGTACCATAGCGCGCGCTGCTCCCGATGAAAGCGCCACGCGACCCGAGGTCCATCTCGGGTGCTGCGCGCATTTCGTGCCTGGAGCGCACTGCCAACTTCTCCGCGGCGGACATCGACTTGCTATTCCCCGATGTGCACACACGGCAAGTGAGTTGTGGGTGCTGTACGGCCGAGTTGCAAGCGCTAGGTCGTTCTGTACAATATACATGCAGGTATCGGCAGTGTCTTCACCGCAAACTTTCGGAGGTCCAAGCAGATTTGTTGGTTGGGCGGCTTCAGGTGTGTGTTTGTGTGTGTGTGGACCCCCCAGGGAGTATGTCTATGCTTCGTTATCCCATTCGGATGCAATGTCGAGCCACGCCGTCGAAATCTGCGAGTGCATTGAAGCCAGACTGGTCTTAGCTGAGCCTCGGCCTGAGCCACGACAGTAGCCATTGTGACCGCCGTATATCCGTGCTGTTCCACACTCGGCAGGTCGTGGCAGCGCTGGTCGGTGAGGTGTTATTCATGCGATGCCACCCCACTAGAGAGGAGCGGGTGAGGTCAAGCAGGGCCCGACAGGTGTCTGGACTTCCCGAGAGGTGGCGCAGGGCCAGCAATTCATCACCATACAATGCGCGACCGCTGCGATGGTGAAGAGCCTCAATGGTCGTATAGGAATTCCATGGTGGAGAGCCCATGGCCCGCGGGGGCATCGCCCTGGGCCGCTGTCTTTTGACATGTTCGGAAACTGCCGTGCGGTAGCTGCTGCTGGACACCAAGTGTTGGTGGTAGCAGCGGGAGTGTGTCACCTCATTCGTTCTCTCATTATTTGTCTTCCCAATCCGTTTTACAAGGTGTTCAGGTGAAGATCAGGCATGCATTCGCGCAGGCCGCCAGTGACGAGATGAGGGCATCGTTAGCTGTAGTCGCCACCTACGAGTTGTACCTCGTGTTTTTCGTTTCCTGCATACCGCGGACTCGTCAACCTGTTTTTGGGTACCCAGCTTCAGTTCTGCACGTTGAAGTAGCAATACTTGTCCAAGTTGGCACTTGCACTCTGTCAGGCCCCACCACACATAACAGACCAGACGTGTGAAGGTCGGTGATACGCTCGGCGGCGACTTCAGGCCTCGAATGCCGCGAGATTCCTCGAATGAGCTTGTTGGGGGGTGATAGTTGTGAGCTTAGGCGCAGGCGTGGAGTGGCCGCCTCGCCCAGCCGTTCGCAGTGGGGGCGCTGGACGCTGGCTGCGCTCAGTCTACGATTGCACGAAAAGAGAACTGGCGGTTACCGACACGGTCGCCGAAATAGCGGATGCGTCGCAGCGGAACGCCAACGGATAGCCGCGCGCGTTCGAACGACGAGGGAAACGAGTGTGCGGCAGGTGAGTTGGCGGCTACGAAACGGTCGCTACAGCAACGTCCCAGCAGAGGCTCAAGGGAGATACTCGCGCGCCCGAGCGACAGATTCGGTCGCCTGTGCAAATATGTTGCTCCAGATGGCGCTCCAGCGCAGCACCAGGGTATAGCCTTGCGCGTGTGAGCGACGAGAGAAGCGAGGGTACGGCAAGGGAGCGGGCGGTGTACCCACACAGTCGCCAAAGCGAATGGAGCGTCCCATCAGAGCGCCAAGGGATAGCCCGCGCGTGTTTGAGCGACGAGGGACACGAGGACATGGTAGGAGAGTTGAAGGTCACCAGGACGGTCCCCAGAGCAATGGAAGTTTCCCAACGAAACGCGTTGGGCAAGAAACCAGGCAGGTCGGGATTCTGTGTTGCACGGGCGGACGGTGCCGCCGAGCTCCTCATCCCACGCGTGCGCCATCCTGGCCGGCTGACCCAACCCGAGGGCCGCACTGCAGCGCTTCTCCGAGGCCGCAGTCCGCTCTCTCCGAGACCCCGCGCTGGGTGGTGACCGACCTCCGTCTTCGAGGAGAGGGTCCCGGCCCTGGCTGCCGAGAGCTCCGAACGCCATACTCGTCACTCTCCGGACCAGGCTCCGGCCGGCCTCCACGCACTCCGAGCACGCCCGGCAGTGAGTCACTGCAGTGAGCGCGCGCCTTCGCTACCTCAGCACGCGCACCAGTGTACGTAACCCCTTTCGTGGCCTCTCCTCGTCCTTCCTCCTCCTCTTCCTTTGGCTCCTCCACCTCATCCTCTTCTCCGTCTCTCTCTTTCACTTCTCCTCCTCCTCCGTAGCCATTGGTTTTCAAGATGGCACCCTTCTAGTTTGCCATGGAATTGTCTCGCAGTGGGGCTGGGCTCACGTCCCGCTGGCCCACTTCAACCATGGGTGGCTCGCCATTCGGAGATCTTCGTCGATGACGCTCAGTATTCGTCCCAACCCCTTGATGACCTCGACGTTTCAAGTAAACAGAGTGGTGTTCATGGGCGTATTCCTGCCTGGGCTTGCGCTTCGGAGGCGGTGCTTGAAGCTGCTACCGCACGGTTCCCCGAACATCGGCTTCGCAGCCTGAGGGCGTATTCCTCCGCATCTGTTCATGGATATCGCCTCCACGCAATGCTCCGGAGGTGGTCCGTGAGCGAGCTCATTGACCATGCCAAGACGATCGCATACGCTGTCGGATCCATCCAGGAGCCATTTTTCGCCGGCCTAGTGGGAACCAGGGCAAGAACAGCAGCATCTGCGGTTACGCTGAAGACGGACCTCCTGCTGTTCCGCCCTTTCCGCTTAGTTCAGGGTCGCCAAATGAGCCACTTTGCAGCCGTGGCCTGGTGCTGCAGTTCGCGGACCACCTCGACAAGGTCGATTCTGCGGTGGAGATGCTTGCGGCCAGCCAGAGCACGCTTCAGATGAAGGCGAAGATGGAGCCGGCCAGAGCGAAGGTGGATGGCCCCAGCGCGGTGGCCCCTTCCCCCCTGGGACGCCGACGCCAGCGACAAGCACGAGGAACACTTCTTCGGAAACGCTCTTGGCTCTTGGCCGGCTGCAGATCACCACCCGCCGGATCGCCCCAACTCAACCCGAAGGCCCAAATTTGCCTTCCATCTCCAGTGGCGGGGGCGGCGTCGGGGAACAATATGGAACCCGTACCACGTGGAAAACGTGGAACCCGTACCCCCCCTCCCAACCCGAAGTTTAGGTCATCGGGTTGGGTTGGTGCGGTCTGGTGGGCAGTCTGCAGGAGAAGCGTCGCCAGCTGATGCCCTCGCGCACGCAGCCGAGGCGGAGCCCGCAACCGAGGCCTCTGCGCCCAGGTATTGCGGCCTTTGTTGGCCAGGGCGGCGATGCCGGCTGGGCTCCGGCGCGCCAGCAGACGGGGAGGCTGCTCAGGCCCCAGGAGCGAAAGAAGGACGTACAGTTGGCACGATGGTGAAGAGCATCCTCGACTTTTGAGGGGTACCCTTCTGCTCTTCATATCTCCCCATGGTTGGGCGTTCCATCTGGTGACGTTATTCCTTATGGGAGTCTCCATGGGTCTTTGGTCCCTCGGCGAAGGGGCCCTTGTTCTTGATCCACGGTCTTGCGACCTTCGTTCGACTGTGCGCGCACATGAATCCCGAAGATACCGAAAGCCTCTCAGCAGGCCGCAGGCCTTCTCAGAAGCCCCGCCGCCTTCTGAGAAGGCCTTCTCCTTCTCACTCCCCCCCCCCCCCCCTTGCTCGCAGCCGATACGTGTGACCGAATTCTCGCGGCCAGTCTCGCGGATTGGGGGGCCGTGTTCATGTGCGTGGTTGGGTAGCTACGTACGTCCTTTTGTGGGCTCCCGAAGGCCACCCGCCAATCAGAAGAGGGCACGAAGCCGGCCGAGGCTCACACGCATGCTGGAGGGGCGGGGCCAGGCGGGAACAGGCTGATGGAGCCCCCGGGGCCCAGCTGGGACCTGCCGCTCCGGCCGCAGGGCTGGCCGCGCCAGCCTGGGAGCAGAACGACCGGAAGGCGAGGAAGAGTACGGAAGAGTACGCTTGCGCAGGAGAGGGCTCCCGCGCC